TATATATATATATATATATATATATATATATATATATATATATATATATATATATATATATATATATATATATATATATATATATATATATATATATATATATATATATATATATATATATATATATATATATATATATATATATATATATATATATATATATATATATATATATATATATATATATATATATATATATATATATATATATATATATATATATATATATATATATATATATATATACAAGAAGATACATAGCATAGTAATAACATTCTTGTAAAGCCATACATAGCACAGTAATAACATTCTTGTAAAGCCATTCTTGTAATGCTTTAAGACTGTTTGACATAAGTATTTATCAAGAGTATTTGAGGAAAGCAGCACCCCGTGGGCTGACATCTGACGTATTCACACACTGGTTATCAAATGTGGCATGTTTATGCACATTTTTTCTCTTTCTGACTATTTAATTCATGCAGTATTGTTCTAATATATTAAAGAGTGTAAATGGAACATGTGACAACTATGAATCTTGAGGCTTTAGGACCAGGAAGAACCCCAAGCCATCCTTGAGGTATTTAGGGTCACAGGTCAGGCCCCCAGAACAATGTTCAGGGCTCCCTGGTTCCATCGTGGAAATCTTAAGATTATAATATTTATCCTAATGGGTTTCTGTAAAATTCCTTTCATGTTTAAATATGTTTTTAAATTACAGTATATTGGATGTTATTGGATCTTATTATTATGCACATGTTAAAAAGATGTTGAAGCCCTTAGATATGGTGATGTTGATTAGACAGTGGGTGGGTCTGTGTGTAGGTGGGGGTGTGTGTGTGTAATTACCTAAGTATAGTTACAGAATGAGAGCTACGCTCGTGGTGTCCCGTCTTCCCAGTGCTCTTTGTCGTATAATGCTATGAAACTACTGACGGTTTTGGCCTCCACCACCATCTCACCTAACTTGTTCCAAAAGTCTATCACTCTGTTTGCAAAAGTGAATTTTCTTATATTTCATCGGCAGCTTTGCTTAGTTTAAATCTATGACCTCTTGCTCGTGAAGTTCCAGGTCTTGGGAATTCTTCCCTATCAATTTTGTCAATTCCTGTTACTATTTTGTACATAGTGATCATATCACCACTTTTTGTTCTATTTTCTAGTTTTGGCATATTTAATGCCTCTAACCTCTCCTTGTAGCTCTTGTCTTCATCTTCTGGGAGCCATTTAGTGGCATGTCTCTGCACATTTTCTAGTTTGTTGATGTGCTTCTTAAGATATAGGCACCATACACCATTTTTTTTTTTTTAATTTTGCTCTGAGGGGCGAGTTTATTGGGCAGCGCCACTCATCCTGTGAGTGGACACACCACCACAGCAGCATGTGCAACACTCCCCAATAGGAAGAATACCCGCTGGGTTGTTCATCCTGTCACTTGTACTCAGACACAGCTTGGACTTGCTTAACTGTCTCAAGTGAACAGCTCCTCAAACAAGAAGATTAACATCTGTCAATTTGACAAATAGTGTTTTCCTAACTCAAGCAATGTGGGGTTTATTATTCTACACATATTTCTAGTGTCCCCCAGGTGTTCACATTCACATAGATAGTGGTCAAGGTGATGTCCATCACTTTCATCACAGATTCTGCAACACCGCTGATCAACTGTTGTTTCCATTCCAAATCACCATGGATATTTGTATCCAAGACAGATTCTCCCTATTATTGATTCTCTCCAGCGTCCTTCTCCTCCTTGTCCATAATGACTGGAATTGCTAGCTGCAACCATGCTGTACCATCGTACAGATTCACTGATTTGTGCTTCTATCCTCCTTTCCTCAGTTACCTTGTCACGGTGATGTTGCCTGACAATACCTCTAATTTGTAGAAGAGTCTTGGGTATGAAGTATTCAATATGGTCTCCTTCAGCAGCCAGCACATCTGCTTGTTCATTTCCACATATTCCAACATGGCAGGGGATCCACAGAAGCTTGGTGACTCTTTCCTGGTTGGTTAGTACCCTTTCAGCTCTCTTAATTTCAGCGACTATTGCAAGATTTTCTGCCCGATTTTTACTTGGGCTTTGCAGTGCTGCTTTTAAATCAGTGCAGATCACTGCTCCATTAGTGTTTCGTTCAAGGAATCTTAACGCCATAACAATGGCAGTTAGCTCTGCTTGTGTTGAAGAGGCATAGCACCAATTCGCGCTTTTTCTTCATTTCTGCGTTAAAAAGCATTATCCTTAATTACAGTGTATGCTGCACCAGCCCTGCCATTGACTGGATTAGATGACCCATCAGTGTAGATTTGATTTACTGTAGTTCATTTCCGGCTTCTTTATAAATTTCCTTGAGATACTTGTGCCTCATTTCTTGTGGTATCATGTTGGATTTTTTTGTTGCCATTTCATTGATGATAATCCTGCATGAGTCATCCTGCCAGGGAGGTAACCTCTCTACAGGCATGAGCTCACGGGCTTGCTCAAGCAGGTGATGTTCTTTGAGGTAGCAGACTGATCTGTGATGCCATTTTTTGCTTCTCCTGTTTCCTCCTGTTAGCAGCACAGAACTCAGTTTTTTCTTAGCAATATCATTGTAATAGGGATCTCTGGCTATCCTAATTGCAAGCTTAGCATTCAGTTCCTTATTTCTGCTTTTAACACTGGAGAGGGACAACGCCTCTCATAGATTAGACGTTTTGGCAGTTCTTGAACTCCAAGAATGATTGGCATGGCTTCATTTTGTATTCTTTTGAGCCTTTTCATATTGCTTTGGGAGTAGGTGCACAAAACTGGTGAGGCATAGTCTATGACAGAATGCACATAGGCTGTGTACATCATTTTAAGCACGGCAATAGAGGCTCCATGTCCATTCCAGGTCATAGCTTTCAGTGCCCTGAGTTGACTTTTGCATGTTCCTATGAGCTGGTTGAGCTCCACTTTCTTCCCTTTGTTAAGCTGACAATAACACCAAGGTACCGATAGTGGTCAACCCATTCAAGCGTTTCACCATTAATTTGCAGTTCTTCATTTGCTCTCCGCTGGTGATGAGAGTATGCCTTCGTCTTGTTTGTGGAGAGAGTGAAACCGAGCTCAACACATTTCCTTCCAAGGAGTTCAATGGACTGTTTAATTTTTCCCAATGATGGGGCTTGTATTAGGACATCATCTGCATACCCCACTTGTTGCATCCCTTCCGGAGAATCAATATTTGCAATGGTGTTCATAAGTACATTGAATAGTGTGGGGGCTTAAGACTCCGCCTTGGGGGGTACCGAGTTCCATATTCATTGTTCTTGAAACTGCTCCATTGAAGCAGATCTTGGCTTTCCTCCCTGTGAGGTAGTCTTCAATCCATTTCATGAGTCTCCCCTTGACACCCATGCATGCAAGCTCGTCCAGGATCAGAATCCCTTGTGTTTTGTTAAGCTCCTTTGACGTCAAGAAATACAGAGTATCTAACTTTGCCATTAGCCAGGTAATTAACTATACAATTTGCTGTGCTCTGTCCTTTAACAAATCCGTTGACCCCCTCCCCTTGCCTTCATATTTTGTGCAACAGTCAGTTTAGAATGATTCTTTCAAGCATCTTGCAAGTGCATGACCTGAGACTGATACGTCTGTAATTGCCAGGGTCATTGGGCTTCGGTATTGGAACGATTATTGAGTGTTTCCATTGTGTGGGCAACACTCCTCTTAGGAATGATTTATTAAAACAGGTGGAGTAGTGGATTCCCAGACACCACACAGTGCATTAAGTATGTCGTAGGTGACTCCATCCTCACCAGGTGCAGTACTTTTACCCTTTTTCATAGCCTCCCTTACTTCCTGGGCTGTGATTGGTTCCCCATACTCATCATCCAGTGATGATGAGTCTGTGCTCTTCTTAACCTTAGTTCTCCTGTCATTATGCTGCAGGAGCTGTTCCTTGCTAATTTCTGCAGGGAGGGAGGAGGAGGATGCTGCATCACTCCACTTGTGAATTAGTTCCTCAGCCCTACCCTTGGGGTCTTTGTGAGCCAAACGCCGGGTTCTGCCCCCTTAGTTATCTGAATTTTTGCCCTTGTCTTGTAGATGTTTCTCTTCCCTGGCTACTTGACACACAGTTTTAAGCAGCTCTTGGTTGCTCTCAGTGGGATGTCTCCGGTACTCTCTACTCGTGTCCCTTACATTTTCATTGAGCATCTTTATGTAATCGTTCTCATACCATTTTATTTTCTTCTTCTGAAGGTTACATCGCCCAGTCATATGGTGCAGATCTCGAATTCAGCTATCAATTTGGTTACTGTATTAAGATCATCAACAAATTTATCAGTGTCTTCTGGGATTTGGTATTCCGTGAACCAGTTATTCATCCTGTTTATGAAGCGCGGCCTCATATCTGGTCTAGGTGATAACCTTTTTCTTTTATTTGTCTCTTTCCTCCTCTTGCGTATGTCAACGGTGGTAATCAGTGCCCAGTGGTCACTTCATAAGCTGTGTGCTATGTGTGTACTGGCATCCATGCCCTGTGCATTTGGCAGAAGAGCATAGTCCAATCTTCCTCCTCTGAGGTGAGTTGGCTGTTCATCACTCAGGACCCTGAGGTTTTCACTTCCCCTAATATAAAGTGACAGTTTCCGTCCATTGACATTGGGCTGATGACAGTTGGCACCAAAGTGTGGGTGCCTGGCATTTAAGGTTACCAACTAGCAGGGTAGGTTTCTCATTAACAAATTCAGGTAGTGTGTCAAGGTCAAGTTTAGTCTGTGGCACATATAGGTTGATTATATGTAGGGCATTACTGTTTAAGTAAAGGGTTACCTCCAGTGATTCATACTCATCCCCCCATGTGGAGGTCATCAATAATCTGTGCGGGAATGTTGTTGTTAACAAAAGTGATGAGACCCCATTTTCTTTTCCCAGTGGGCAGGGAGAACTTGAGATAACCGTTGAATCTTGGGTTGACGTACCTACCAGGGTCTCCTGTAGCACTATGACGTCAGTTTGGTGTTCACAGACATACTGCATGATGTCATTAATTCTATTGCGGACTCTGTTGCAGTTCCATTGTAGTATAGTGAGATGTTCTTGAATGTGATTATCCATCATGAGGTTGGTTGTCATCAGATGCGCTATGTCCGTTATGTTCACTTGTGTTATGTATTCCATGCAGACCTGCGGTAGTGTGCACTGGTGTTGCTGTGCACACTGATGTTGCTTTGTTCATTGGGGTTGTTGCCGTGTGCACCAGTGCTGTTGCATGGTCCGGTGTTGCTGCACGCACTTGTGTTATGATATCATAGTGTTTGCTAGCATGCTCTGATGTGATGGTATCATTGTGTCTGCTGTCATTTACTTGGACAGCACTTGCTGTATCACCTTGCTCCAGGCTATGGCTTTCTGGACCTGATAATATCTGCTTCCGCAGGATATCCAGAATTTGTTCCTGGGAATTCTTGGTCTGGCCAATGGCGGTCTCATACACCATGTTGATGTGCTTCTCAAGATATGGACACCATACATCATGTTGATGTGCTTCTTAAGATATGGACACCATACATCATGTTGATGTGCTTCTCAAGATATGGACACCATACATCATGTTGATGTGCTTCTCAAGATATGGACACCATACATCATGTTGATGTGCTTCTTAAGATATGGACACCATACATCATGTTGATGTGCTTCTCAAGATATGGACACCATACATCATGTTGATGTGCTTCTTAAGATATGGGCACCATACAACCGTTGCATGTTCCAGTAGTGTGAACGTGTGTGGGGTGTTTATGATAAATAAAGAAAGAAAGAAGTTAGAAAGTGGTAGCAAGAAGAGAGTGATGGAATATTTGGCATGATTAGTTTAAGCTTTTTATATTGGGAAGAGTACAGTATAGTACTGTACATTGGAAATACAAAACTGTAAAGTAGGAGTACAGTATAGTAGAGTGTGTTGTGCTGCTACTCTGCATGTTTTCACTGCTGATTTTATTACAGCACTGACAGGACTGATCAATTTATAATGTGTCAGTTCTATTGTAATGTGCCAGTACTGGAGCAATAACCATGTTTGGAGACATTCCTCTAGCCACAGTCTCTTATTTTGTTTCAAAATACTTGTTTAGCTATTCCTTGTGGTGATTCCGAGGATCAACGTCCCCGTGGCCTGGTTTCTGACCTGGTTTCTCCTGGTTTCTGACCGGGCCTCCTGATTGGTGGTCTGGTCAACCAGGCTGTTGGATGTGGCTGCTTGCAGCCTGATGTAAGAATCATAGCCTGGTTGATCAGGTATCCTTTGGAGGTGTTTATCGAGTTCTCTCTTAAAACACCATAAGAGGCCGTCAGTAGTGGCCCTTATGTGTAGCGGGAGTGTTGAAAAATCTTGGGCCTTTGATGTTGATCGAGTTCTCTCTCAGCTCCCCAGAAGTACAGTATAGAATAAATCGGCATAATAAGCTCACTGGAATACCAAACTAATTATTGTTGTTTACATTGTAACAGGAAACTGTTATTAAGCATTATCTGATATATTTTTGTGTAAGATAGCAACATCCTGGGCCGACTGTCGTGTGTACGAGGGCATGCGTATGGCCAGCAGGCAGCTGGGCATAGCTTGACTAGATATGTTAATAAATATAGCCCTGCTGGTAGCCCTGAGGTTAGCTTAGCAGTACTTAACACAGTTAGCAGGACTGAGCTTTAGCTCTTGGGGCCCTGACTCTCTTTATACTTGTTGGTCGTCTAGTGATGTGACTATTGTCCCCCCCTTTGTTCTTACTTGTATTTACTTAGGAAACTATGGTTGGATGGCATAGCTTATATTCACTTGTACATAGTTCATTCTTCTTGCTTACCATCTTTACAATGAAGTATTTCCTCATTTCTTGTGACTCATCTATAATATCTAGCTTCCATGTGTTTTATCTAATTACAATACTGAACAGTCTTAGTATTCTGGTTGTATCTACAGTGTATTGGTACCCCTGAGTATTTTCTATATCTGAATCATGTCCATTATATTTCACTTTTCTTCTAGGGTCGTAAAATTTTCCTTTGGTCTATTCATGTAAGTTAATTCCTTAACTTTTGGGACACTATCAGTCTTGAAGGAAACATTCCGATGTTTTTGTCAATCTTTGTATTTTTTTTTTTTTGAGATGGGGCTCCATGCTGGTGCTGCATACTCTTGCACTGGTCAGACAGGTACTGTATAAATTATGAATACATCCTTGTCTACTGCAAATTATAAAAAGAGGAGAGTATTTTTACAAGCGCCGAGCTTAAGAGAATATTCAACTCTTATTCATTCCTTCATTCAAGAACATTCATTCTTACTGAATGTTTTTCAGTAAGAATTTTCAAACTAAGTATATGGCAAAGGTACAGTATAGCAATGTACTTTTTGGCAGTTTGGCAGATAGTAATTTTATATTTGATTGGTTTTGTCTTGTTATTATTAATCTTGGCACAGGTTACTTTAGTTTTTAGTTACAACATTATGTTTTATGTTTCCAATCTCCACCTTTTGTGTTCCTGTTCCTTGGCTCCCTGCTCTCATATGTCACACTAGAACACACCTCTTCTGCCTCTTGGCCACAGATCACAGTCACCAGTATAACTCTTCCCCTCATCCTCCCCCTCATCCTATCCCCTCATCCTTTCCCCCCCCCCCCTTTCTTTCCCACCTCCTCTTCCTCATTATCATCTTGCGTCTTGCTTCCTCATCTGCCTGACAGTACTAGCCTCTTGTTACTAAAGTTTAGTAGTACTCTACAGTATATTCTGTACTTAGCATGCATAACAAACATGTGTGATATGGTAACAAACTGTTCTGCATTCATTATTGTTCTGGACTTACCTAATTGTGCTTGCGGGGGTTGAGCTTTGGCTCTTTGGTCCCGCCTCTCAACTGTCAATCAGCTGGGGTACAGATTCCTGAAGATACATCGCATTCCTGTATACATCGTTGCTTCCAAGTTTACATGGCCTGGTGGCGGTGCAGCAAAACATCCTCAAACACACTTAATTTTTTTGTGAACAGCATCTCATTGGTAAATGCTCCTACTATTCCTAATGGATTAACATCATACCTTGAACAGAAAAAGGTTAAAAGAATGTACAAGAATGTAACAACTCTTGTATATATCTCAAAAAAAAAAAAAAAAAAAAAAAAAAAAAAAAAAAAAAAAAAAAAAAAAAAAAGTCAATTTTTTATTAGCTTTAAAAATATTAAAATGTCACCAAATGTTATTTTATTCATTATGGTCACAGAATGGCATATAACGTTCACTTTTCTCACTGCAAAATATTGTTTGAGTTTACTGTAAAAGATTTTTTCAATATGGCCCTCCAAATACGTACAAAATTTATACACAACAAATGTATAACTCCAAAAGTTAATGGTTTATGGTTTATGAGTAAATGAGAGTGAGGAAACCTTAGAACCAAGCACTTTGCACATATGTAAAAATGGTGAGAATCAGTCAGAAACTGAATTTTTTAAGCTGTCTCGGTTGATTTTTTTTTTTTAGATAATTGAAGTTAAGTTATTGACACTGAATATGGTAGTTCTATTTAATGAATTTTCTTGTACGTTTTAATAAACATTGCTTGACATTCGTACTCAAATATGTGAAAGTTGCAGATCAATGTGTGATTGAAATGAAGTCAAGAAGAAATAACCCCCCTTCCTCCCCCCCCCCCCAAAAAAAAAAATTTAGGGATAACATATATTGCATTGACTCTATTGGCCATATATAAGTGATAAGGCTTTCATCTGGTCCTCATTCATCAATACAACCTAAAGATACAAAGAAAATAGTTTGAAATCTGTAAAAATATCAGCCCTCCAAAAAAGTCACAATTTCTGCCACCTGTGGCTGATTAACATGTTGACCAATTTTGTTGCAACTTTTCATGCTTAGTGCCGGATATGCATCCTCCAAGATGTAGGAGTTACAATGAAATCCACATTAAAACAGGAGAAAAAAGAAAAGAGAAAAAAAAAAGTGGTTGTCAGCTTTTCATACAAAGGGACATAAAGAAATATTGCCATTGGGCAATGTATTTACTGTATATGATATACAGTACTGTACTGTATTATAAAATACAGCATAATAACATACTAACTCATTATTATGTGTGAAATCTGGCCCTCCAGGTGGAACCAGCTACATATCTACTTTGTAGACCTTCCTTACTATTACTTGTCTTCTTTGTGCGTCAGACAGGTGCTTGCATCTCTTTATCCCTAATTGACAGTAAATTGGAGGTGTTATTGTTATTATCAGTACCGGTTGCCACCCGTCACGCATGCATTTATTTTGTACAAATTTGTCAAAAATAATTTCTTAACATATTGCGAAGAAAATTTCACGACGCTGATGGCAAATAACTGGAGATTTGTTTGAAATTTTTCAATATTTTTCATATTTTGAAAAATACACTACGTCACCAGGCCCTTTAAGTTATCGTGCAGCAGCAGCAGCAGCAGTATTTCCTGTGCTTATTGCTACAATAATGCATTATGTACACTTAGTAGTGTGGGGTCACTGTATGGTGGTGGTTGAGGATATTTATGGTTCGGATTTCTCCCCCTGTGGCAACAAGTGTTTGCCTTGTTTACTCTGTGGTGCTCAATTGACTTCAAGCAGTTGCTTTTGTTGTGCTTCCTGGTGGGTTCTTTCTCGGGTTTGGTTCGATCTTTGATCTGCAAGCTCCCTTCATCATGTAGGCGAAGTCAGTTTTTGGTTGGGGGTTTCTAGTAGGTCGAGATGATTTCGGGGCTTAGCGTTCCCGCTGCCCGGTCCTCGACCAGGCCGTCTTTTTTGTTAACCACCATGTTGTGGGAGGACTTTAACAGATTCGTCTGCTGAATCAGTGTGGCCACCTGTTAATATCTGCACTCATCATACCAGCTTAATGGTTCGCTATGGTGAACACAAATGTAAATATTTATATATAACGTGTATTTACCTGTATAGTTTTATTATTATTATTTTCTACCACAGACGTGGCCACACACT